ATTATCATCATTATTAAACTAAAGGGAATTGATTATCAAAAAATTAATAATTAGCATAATTTCCTTTTTTTATGTACATAATTTTCAATACCACCTCATTTATCTATTTGAAGTTTTACTAAATAAGAAGATAGTAATGCTCTGTACTTTAATTCAATTCATACAATCAATTGATAAATAGCATATTCACTAATCTGATGCAGTCATAATTTGAAAAGGTTTTTACTACAATCGTCGACGTAAACATTTAGTGAACCTACAGGCATGTAATTATCCCCCAAAAAATGAAGAAACTCGTAAAAAACAAAATTAATACTTGCTTATAACCACTCCTATCCCGTGTTCCAGAAATGTCAAGGTAGGGAATTAAATAAAGAAAAAAAGATAAATAACCTAACGTCTATATCGATTTTCAAGTTTGATAAATCAAATTGCTTTACAAGATCTAATGAAAAACGAAATGTACTTCCATATCTTTTTGGGTATATCACACGGATTTTCGGTGAACCTGACGTTTTTAATATTACAATTAGTATAATGCTGGGGAGTTATGCTAAATAAACTCAAGACTCTTCTTGAGTCTTCTGACAGAAGATTTATTTAACTTTCTGTATGAATACATGAGGCGGAATATGTTTGCAAGGAACCGTAATGTATAATGCAAGGCATCCGACTAGTACAGATTTCTATGTTTTCTCTAAAAGTGAGAGCGATAGCCCAACCGCAAAAGCAATATTTAGAAATTACATAGTGAATATTCGTCAATTTGAGACTATATTGCCGATTACGTGGCAATAAAACATTAAACTAAACCTTAAATTTGTCTGAAAGATGGGAGGCCATCTATCGCATTTTATGACTAAAGAGTACCATTAAGAAAGTCGGTAGAACAGCAGTTGAAGATCCTTGTAATCGGGAGTGTGGATCCAGTGAACGGGTTGATCCAATCCCGATGCCTAACAGATCTGCCACGCTGATGGTCGATGTTAAAAAATGCAAGCGGGCAATCAGAATTCAGAATCGGATACGATCTAGGAAGGTTTCAAAGTTATCTTGAAACAAGTCGTTTCGAACAAGTATTAACTATTGCCAACCTTTGGTAATTATGTTTCAAATATGCAGAGTCAAGTGAATTCTCGGTGTCTGACATGAAGGAATCTTATCTCCTGATCGTTATTGAAAAATAAGATAAGGGTTATCTGACAATAGCTACACACTATCTATGTTACTCTAGGTATCCGAGGTTATCCTTAAGATTGAAATGAGCTCCTGAAAATTTTCAATAATACAAGGAGACAATTTTAAAAAGGATTCTTGATGTCCTTTTTCGGTTCGAGGCATTTGCCACATTTCTACCCCTAACTAAGCCTCTGCGTCAGTCTCTTGTCACTTCCTCAATTAACCTCACAACTGTCACCAGAGGTATGATGGCTGTAAGTGTTTCGAGTTGAAGTACAAGTTTAATTTTTTCTTTCAATAATTCAGTGATCCGAACATTATCAAGTCTGATTCAGGCATAACCGAATAAAAACGGTTTTCTTCATCCTTTCACTGGTTCTATTCAGTAACAATTCATTGCAAATCTATTTGCCATCAAAATCAATATCTACCTTAAGTTATACCATTCCTTCCATCTTCTTCCTTCCTTTGCCAGGCGTGGATATCTGACAAAGAATAAATCTCTTGTATATAAGAACAAATAAAAAAATTGTGTGTTTTTCAGGTTTTTTTAAGGAAAAACAATTCTAAATAAACAATTAAATAATTTCTTATTGATATTTACAACTGTATTAAAGAAATAAATTTAGTAAAGTTGAACATATGTATATGATGACGTGAAAACACTTGTTGAGTAACTACCCAATGATATCACACTAATGATATGTCTACATTAGGAGATCACGGGGCCATCTTCTTCTCAGACGCCTCGGAGGGTTATCAGGAATTGAAGAGAAGGCAAGGTTAGAAACGAGACGGTTGGAATGATTCTGAAGTTTATTATGGAAGGATAGGTATCTGGATTGGACCACATCTGAAACATGAGGAACATTAAGGTCATTATGGATGGTTTTATTTGTAACAAAGGAGGGAGAATTGAGAATTTTACGAAGTATTTTGGATTGTAATAATTAAATAAGAATCAGTAAGATTAAGAAATATAATGACTAGAGCAATTAGAAGCCAAGGAGGATGGGAGAGCGGTGATGGAGGAGGCTGCGCTACTGGTGGTGGCCTGAAGCCAACAAAGCGGAACCTGGCTTTATCAAGCGGAACTAACGAGGGCGAGGACCCACCTGCTTCCGTACCCTGTCACTTAATCAATTGCAATCCCTGTACTCAACCTACCCAGCTCCCCGTACTACTAAAATACATTCAGGACCACCCTTGTACAAAGAATAATTACCTTTATTTGGAGGGCCATCCAAGGAACATAACCTATATTTGATAAATATTTAATTAAAAAAAAACAAGAATAAAAGCGGGACCCCGTTCCCCCAATACTATCAGCGCGGTAAAATATTTCCTGAGAAGTGCTACAAGACAGGTCTGTAACCTAAAGGTACTATTTCGATGATACTGCCCACCCTGCCGGTAGTTATGGAGGAATAGAAAAGGTACTATTTCGCTGGCATAGAAAACGACAGCGAAGTAGGCTCCTTTCTGTTCCTCTAAAGTAGCGTTTAACTGCTAGTAATCGGCGCAGTGGGCAGCACCATCGAAATAGTACCTTAACCTGAACGACATCATTACTGGATTTTATTAACACATCCGGGTACATAAAAAATTTAAACGAAAGAGATAAACTTAAAAAGTTGTGATACAAACTGGCAAAATTTTTGCCTGGACATGAACCTGCAAAAAAAATGTATTCGGATTCAAATTAAATGACAACATAATTTCCTAATTTGGCGGAAACAGTAATATACAACCATCATCGGAAGCAGCATATATTCAACCATCATTATTATACTGTGCTATACTGAAAAAACAGACAGAAACTGATATCTGCGGTGATGTTGAATGGATACCAATTTGGGGGCCGGATTTAATAATACAACAACGGCTATTTAATTATTTCTGAATAATTTTATATCAATTGTTCTTATAATTCATTTATACTAAATTTAATTATGCATTGTAAGTATGCTAAGTATTGTATATTGTTGCTTAATTACAAAATTAATTAATAATTTCTTTTCATTGCATTTATATTTCAATTGTAAATATTCTACCAATATTGTTATTTAATTTTTAATTTATTACCATTGTTATTCATCTTTAGTCATTTGTTTATTTTATTTTAATAACTTTTTTGTTAAGCATATGATACAGTTGTCGTTGGAAATAACCAAGAGAACATTATATATATGATATAATATATGATAATAAGCCAAAAATTCCATCCCAATAACAGGATCTGCGGAGAAGTAAAATCGTTCCTGGGAGAAGAAAAATTCAAATACCTCAATACCACAATTACCTCAATGAATGTCTAACGATCAGAAATAAACCAGCTTTCTCTTTTAAAGGTATTGAGATTCCAAGAAATCTCAAATTAAGGGTGCACATTGCTATGATAAAGTCAGTTCAAATATATGGTGGTGAGACCTGGACACAAATCAACACCCAGAAAAAAAGTATTGAAAAAGTTGAGAGAAAAATTTTCATCAGGATATTCGGAGCGATGGTACTCTGGGATTAGAGTACTAACACGTGATGGTATAAAGGCACAGAGGTTAAGATTTGCGGAATATGTAACTCTGAGCAATCCATCTAGAAGCCTCTACATAACAATAACAAAAGAAGGCAAAAGTCAAAGAAGGTCAAAAAGTAGATAAATAGATAGAACCAACAAAGATGCAACAGAACTGCGTGTAGATAAATGGAAAGGAATAGCCCAAGATAGGCAGACATGGGGCAGAATTGTTAAGGCTGCAAAAGATCTGCAAGGTTTGTAATGCAAAATAAAAAAAAATAAAAATTTTAAAAAATTGTACGTATCATGTTAAGATGGTACGATTAGAAATATATGCACCCATTGCAGGGTTACTTTAAAGTGGAAAATGGAACTAAAATTAAATCTGTTATTATTATACTACAATCGAAAGATATATCAACCGGTATACTGTTTGAACTAACGTGTACCCAATAATATATCCAACAACATATTATCAGTATTCAAAAGAATACCCAAATCCAAAAAGCCACCAGACTATTCATCCTCCTATTGTCATATCTCTCCTTTACCCATTATGAACAAAAACTCATTTTGAAACGCCTGTATCCCATCCTAGCATTCCAAAAATCCTATTCCACTATCCAGCAACTTAATCATGTGGTTGACAATGTTACCCTACTTGGTTTTCCAGGGAATTTCCATACAAGTATTTGTTGTGTCATTACACTATAGCTTAAATGTATTTGATGTATTTTTAAAGTTTGATGTACAGCCTTAAATTTTAACAAATAAAAACGGGATTTTTACAACACGTGACTAACGTATTCTTCTAACCAGAGTAAGAAGGTTCTGATAGTTCATTCATTCAGTGGTTCACAGGCGGGAAGGAGCTTTCAGGCTAAAAGCCCTCCCAAAACGTTAAAATATAACTGTATCTTATGAAAACGTTATCTCTAAAAGTATTATTTTTCATGTAATTATACTCAATAGGACTTCAAGAATCACTTTTACACCATTTCGTATAGTTTGTTTCTTTTTATTCCAAGGTATCCAAAGGATTAACATTATATATACATATACAAAAGCTTTCGGGCTGAAGCCCTCCCCCCAAAATTAAATCTTGGATCCGTTATTGCCATGTCTATCATCTGTTAGTGTCCATCATGAAATAAATTTCAAACTAGATTTGAAATGGCGACACTTCTTAGTCTAGTGTTGCAATGTTAATGCCTAAACACACAGCCACTACAGCATTGGGGTGGAGTACTTAATAGAAAGTTACTATATATATTTAAATATTATAAGTTACGTTGATAGTGAGATGGTTGTTATAGGACTAATTGAGCCAACATTTTTTGACAGATATGCATGGAGCAGACTTGTTGGAGATGAGTACGACGTGGACGACAGTGACAATGAAACCTTCTTAGACAATGTGACCAGCGTTTACAGCAACCTCACGAGCACCGCAGAAGTTTTCACCCCGGTACTCCCACCGTTCGAGCCATGGCAGACGGTTCTCATCGCCATCTGCATTGGAATATGCATCGTCCTCACTGTCGGTGGAAACATTCTCGTCCTTATGGCCTTCATAGTTGATCGCACAATACGACAGCCAAGCAACTACTTCATTGCTTCACTAGCTGCCACTGACATGCTCATTGGTAATTAAAAACATTTGCAAAGATGTTAGCGATTTTACTTGAACTATAACATTTATCATTTTATATTCTCTGTTTCAGGAACTGTCTCAATGCCATTTTACACTGTGTACGTTCTGATGGGCTACTGGAATCTAGGACCAATCCTTTGTGATCTATGGTTGTCGGTGGATTACACGGTTTGCCTCGTCTCTCAGTATACTGTTCTCCTGATTACCATTGACAGATTCTGTTCCGTCAAAATAGCCGCTAAATATCGCGGTTGGAGGACTAAAAACCGCGTAATATGGATGGTCACTATAACGTGGATAATACCAGCCCTCCTATTTTTTATTAGTATATTTGGTTGGGAGCATTTTATTGGCTACAGAGATCTACTTCCAGGACAGTGCGCTGTTCAATTCCTAAAAGATCCTGTTTTCAACACAGCATTGATAATAGGGTATTATTGGACAACCCTTGTTGTTTTATTTGTTCTTTACGGTGGAATATACAAAGTGGCATATGACATGCAGAAGAAAAGCGAGGCAAAACAAAGAAAAATGCAATCAATGGTAGCTCTTAGTGCTGGAGCAATGTCCGGAATGGCGGGAAGGGCGGCAGGCATCGGTCTTTCAAAAACACAGAGCACGCTACTAAGCCAAGATAAACCAAAATCTGTCACAACGCCTTGCACAGGTTTGTCTGTTATATCGACTCACAGTAGTGGAGGAGAATCAATATCAAGCCAAAAAGTAGTCAACACAAACAATAAAACACTAACAGTTGGGGATGGCCATAACCATGCAGAAAAGAAGAAGAATACTTCAGGAGAAGGGGATAAATCAGAAAGATCAAGCAGTCCTGCTTTTGACTCGGATGAAGACAGCACGACATGCACTGTGGAGAGACCTTCTACGTGGAACAAAAAAAAGCAATCATTAGCAGGAATGGTGGCACAAGCAGGAGCCCTTACTGTATTTGCACCAGGAAAGGTAAATGGAGTTATTCCAATAAAGATACCAGAAATAAAACCGACAGTGGAATCACCTGAAAAGCCACCAATTCAAACCTCAGATAAATGTCAACATGAGAGTCCACAAAAAGAAAACAGCCCTGCTAAAGTAAATAGTCCACCAAAAGGAACTGACACACCGGGAGGACAATCTAGTAAGACCATTACACCTCTTTCAACGAGGGGAGAATTCCACAAAAGTGACAGATCACTTTCTGAAATATCATCTCCTCCGATGTCAAGCATCCAATCACCTCCCATCATTCCACCACCTGCAATGTTCCAGTCTAGCACCCCTTGCTCGAGCAATTCTCCACTTAGTTCATCTGGACGTCCTAGGAGTCTCATTATGACTAGGAATACGTACGATATTCTTACCGGGATGGATAACTCTGATCTTAGATACATGGATGAGAGTTCGGTAATAGTACCTTCACCAAATTTTGAGAGCCCCCCTTCAACAATGAGTTTTCCTGCAACTGCATCCACTGCACCACCTTCTCCAATGCACAATTCAATGACTATTAGCAATACTTCACTTTTACAGGCTGCATTAATGAGAGCAGCTGCTCAACAAGCAACACCACCAAAAACCACTCCTCCACCGGTAGCTAAAGTCAACACTGAAGTAAGTATTAGTACAGAAGACAACAAACTTGTGACAACTATTGTTGAAGGAGTGGTAGAAACGGAATTGACTGATAAAGTTGGCACTCCAGCTACGTTATATTCTACAACCTCTATCTCTGTAGCAACTGTACAGGCAATCACAACCTTACCTTCTACACCAGATCCTAAGAAGGAATCGATAAAAGGTGGATCAGAAAGAAAAGAAGGTTCAAGAAGAGATTTTGTAAAAACAATAGGAAAACGCCTGAAGGCTAAGGGGCGTAGTGGTCAATTAGGAAGACAAAAATCTAAATCTGAAAATAGAGCAAGGAAAGCTTTTAGGACGATTTCTTTTATTTTAGGAGCTTTTGTCGCTTGTTGGACACCTTATCACATTCTAGCCTTAGTAGAAGGATTTTGTGCTCAACCACCATGTACTAATGAACATCTTTTCATGTTTTCATATTTTCTTTGTTATGCTAACAGCCCTATGAATCCATTTTGCTATGCTCTGGCTAACCATCAGTTCAAAAAAACATTTACCAGGCTTTTAAAAGGAGATTTTCATATGACATAGAAAGGCCTAGGACAATCATATCCTTATAGGTATTCATGACCTATAAATTATTCTTTTAATTAAACAAATACTAAAATGATTACATATGTGTTTTATGATTTGCTATTATTTTTAAAATAACAAACGCAAAGAAAATTATAAATAGGGAAAAGACACCTTTCTACAACAATCAATAAAGCTTACTCAAAGAAGTGGTTTACAGATTCGCCTTATAGGATATTTTGTGTACAGGGTACCCAACCTAGTGACCCTTCAATTAGTTCCCTTAGTTCAAAAGAACTAGTGCTTTTAAATGGCCCTTTTGGTATAAGATATTTAATTAAAAATAACATGACAATACATAATTTATAGATCAATTGGGAAATAAGGATGATTGTAATCTCTGTAAATATAGGAGCTAATGATTTGTAAAGTGTAAAGGAGATAAAAATATAATGGTTTGCTGGGGTGAAAAGATTTGCCCAGATCACTTGGTTAACTGAGCCCTAATCAATGTTTTCTTGGCTTATCTTCTTTCATCCTTGTTTGTTGAAATAATATTTTTTCACAAAAAAATTAATAAAATTATATATTTAGCTATAGGAAAAAAAATATCCTAGTCTTCTACCTTCTTCTTACTCAAAAGTGTGGACTTGCCAATTATAAAAAATAATTCCTGAATTATTATATGCATAAAGCATTGTACATAATAAACAGTCAAGAAATGACTAATTTTTTTTACAAAAACTGCTTTATATTTTGTAATCCAATTAATTATTGGTATATAAAACAATTACTTGTTTAATACAGCTTATCTAACAGTTGTTTTTATACTAACATTTTCTAATGAGATTACTTCATACCATAAAAAAATATATTTCATTATTTATTAGATAAGTTTACTTATTACATAACAAGGGATGTCACAAAGCAGCCCTTTTTTTTTAGTCTTGGTAAGAAATTTAATATCAAACAGTTTAACTTAAGATAAACTCCATTGACAGTTTTTATCAACTGAATGCTTTGGTAGCTTTATTAATTTAAAAGTGAACTCACTGAAAAGTGATGACACTTTAAGTACATTAAATTTTTTAATTATAATAAAAACATTTACTGTAAAATATTTAGTTGGTCATGTATAAAGAAATGGATGTATATATTGTTGTAACAGTGTTAAATGTTGGCCCTTGATTTGTGATATTAAAAATTTTAGACGCTATGTATTTATTTTAAATGTCTATGCTTTAGAACATAAATTGAATATTAAATATTCTTGTAATTAATTTTTAAGTGTAAAATTATATAATAATAAATAGCTATTGTATATAAATTAACAGCTAGGATACATAACACTGTAAGTACTTGAAAATGACAATACCCACTCTACTTAGGTTGTGTATAATATTTATAGCAATTGAAAAAAATTGACTAAAAAATCTTTGAACATTTTACAAGAAAGACATTAGTGAGAAACCAGGCAACTCAGCACAATTAAGTGCATAACCCTTGTATAGTTGAAATAGATAATGCCCATTAAATGGTCTATTAGACCAAAGTTAGATATAAGCTTATAAGTAAATAAAACTCGTCAAAAAAATTGTGTATGTAATATAGGTACTATTTGAAGGACAATTATAAAAGGTCCTTAATATTTTTTTTTAAACTATCTATTTATTTATAAATGCAGTTTGGAATTTAATCAACATATTTTTTTCAATATTCTTCGAACTCTTGACAGTAAGATAAATGAACCACTGAGACTAACAGAATCACTATATTTCAAAGATTTATTCATAACTGAAGCTAAACTCTCTTCTCTTGTAAGTGGAAATAAATAGATAATTTAAATGTATACTTCATTTTTTTTAATTTAAATTTCATTAATAAAGAAAGTTAATTCTGTAAAAAATAGTCATGTGGGATCGGATTGAATCACAAATTTTTTTTAAGTAAAAAAGCAATTTGAGCCACTAATATTTATTTTTCAGGTTATTAATTGAATTACGCCTCTGCTTGCCACAAATTTACGATTAGTCTAATGTCCACTGAAAGGAGGTCTTAAATTTCTCCTATATATGTCAAATTTATTAGCAGCTCAAAGCTTAAGCCAATAATATAATAATTCAAAATTTCATGTGGTGAAATTGACAAAAATAGTTTTTAAAAACAAAAGAAATTTAGCATCTCAAAGCAGACAAAAGAATATGAAAAATATATAAAAATAAATAAAACAAAAGGTTAGCAAGATCTGTAACCAATTCTATTTTTTTGATAATACAATAATTATATGAAATAATTACGAAGAATGTTCAAAGTTTAATAATAAACCAAAAAAACATAGAGAAAAGAGCAGATATTTCCTATTTCTTAAAAGAACATTGTCATGAATTACCAGGTATTTTTCAACATTAGTTATTGAAAACTACAAACAGGATAATTTGCAATGTTTCTCAATGTAAATAAACTTCACGGTGCAATTAATTTACATAGCTAAAAAATTAAATTTAAAGATCAAAGAAAAAATTTTGGAAATTGATTAAATGATTCGCAATCAGGCAATTTATTAAAATATTTATATTTACTCATCAGTGGATGAACAAATAATATGCTTCAAAAACTGAATTTCCAGTCATTCAATTAATTATTGCAATTTTATTAATGTTGCGCTATTGAGGTGCTTTAGATGTAGTTAATTCTATGAATATAGAAATACCATCAAAGCATTAAATTTATAGAAAATAAAACTTAGATGCTTGCTTCTGAAAAAAAAAATACAATTTGAAAAATGTAAATCAATAGATACTGTAGACTCATTTACATTTTTTAAGTTTAATTTATATTTCTCATTTAAAATAGGTGTAATTTTGTAGTTAGTGTAGCTTGTAGTGTGTAATGTTATGTTATTGGAATTTTTAAATTTTTATTAAGAATGGCTCTAATTAGTTATTAATCAATATTTATTTATAATTTTAAATAAATGTAGTACTGAAGTTTTCATAGCTTCGGTACTTTAAAAGAGTCTATTTTTTTAGTTACTTGAAAATTTAATTCAATGTAAATGGTATACTTTATAAAATAATAAGGAAATAACAGCAATAACAACAGGTTAGAATGTTGCATGGAAAAATGAAGTTGAGTGTTTCTTATGTTCGGTTAGAACATATGAAAGGCAGCCAATACGGAATGAGGTAAATGATCAAGAAAATGTAAAAGCCCACGATATTATCTTTTTAAAATAACTTCCGTTCAATAAATTTCTAACAACGCTCAACAAGGTTTTTTTTTTACCGTTTGTTGAAAGAAACTTTTTGGTTTAAAATTAATTAAATTTGAGAAATGAAAATTTTATATTCTTTTCATTTTGCAATTTTTGGTTTTTAAAAATGTGTCAAGCACTCTAAAAAAGATCTAGTGAGTTTCAGACAAATCAGGTGCAAATAGTGGATGATGCAATACATTTAATGTTAAATAACAAACATATTACATTCCGTGATCTTAAAATTAAAGTTCTACAGCATTCACTACTGACTATGACTTTTTCAGAGAACTTGATGCCTTTTTAATGAACAAAGTATTCTAAATTGAAAACAGTGTAAAATTTTTATTTCTATGTTTATTGGTTCAAAGCCAAGTAAGTTTCTTCAAACAAGGAACAAAAAAAATCATTCAAAGTTAGAGACAATGTAATGCAATGAATAGAAGTTATTTTGAATACAAATGATATTGATGGAATATTTTTTTCTTTGACATTTCATACATTCTACAATATTTTCAATCAAATAGCAATAAATTTGGCATAACATAAAAATAAATAAATAAATTTATATTTGATAAAATGAAAAGAATATCCAATATATAAAATATGAAGTTTCAACAATTTAAAAATAGGAATAATCCAAAAACAAACTGTTCTCTTAAACTTCTATATAAGAAGCTCAACACAATCTTTTCAATGACAAAAGAAATAAGCTGTGTTTAAAGAATATTTTAAGACATTTTTAAAATAGCTTCATCCAAAATTACATCATACACAAAACATAGAAACCATTAGACCAAGATAAAACAGTATGATAAAACACAAGAAGTAAAATTTAAGTAATTCCCAATATAAACATTTTGGTAGAAAATTCGTGAACAAGTAAACATGCAGAAGAAAACTACAAAAAAAAGGATTACATTCTTAAACATGCATTGAAATTAGAAAAAATAATAAGGAGAAAATGAGAAGATTCGTTAAAGAAAACCACTGGTATGAGCTCAATAAGAGATGAAAAAATAAGAAAAGAATGAACCAGTAATAAAATTATTGTTAACAATACAGCATATTTTTCATATCAAAAACTTTTAAAGTTAATTTTCAGAAAATACACAGAATCAACCATAGTTATTTTTCTCCTTAGATGAATAAAAGATTAATAAAGCCGACCAATTCAGTACAGCAAACATGGTACATATTTAAAAGAAATAAATGAAATTAATAAGAATGCATTTTGGGGGTTTCATAGGGGGCCTATGGGGTTTCATAGGCTTAAATTTTTTCTTACCTCAATCCACAAATTCCACATTTTTTTCATGGTTTCAAGAAGTGTTGAATTTCTTTCTTGGTAAAATGTTACATATTCGGTTGTGGAAACAAGACAAGACAAAAGGTAAGGCATACAACTATTACTTTTTTAGCTGAAACGACAGATACTGAATAGCTTTTTGAATGTTGTGCTGCTTCAGAAACAGTGTTACCAATCACAAACTTTAACCTTTAAAATTTCATCTGCACAATACTTAAAGCTATAGATTACCACAGAATCTCATTTTATCGAAATATTTTTTAATTTTTCGATCACAGACAACTATTAAGTCGAATCGTCTGGACCGGTGAAACATTATCGTATCCTCCTTTTTCGAAGTATTTCAACTGTACAATGACTATCCGTCTTCTTTCATAGCAGGCCAAACAATTATTGGACAAGCCAGGAACTAAACTTATAGCTTAGATTCTTGCCTAATAATGGTTTCTAATTAACATTGTCTCAACAATAAATGTTTAATGATTATATTTGGATCATAACGCAAAAAATTGAAAATAGTCGGACTTCAATATTAAATAATCCAGATTTTATATAATCGCATAGCGTACATAAAAAAACGTCATTATTGAAACCTTTTCTACGGCTTAAAAAATATAGATATAAATATAGTATTAAGGTGCGTTTAAACATTTTTCTATGAGACAAACAAACATAGAAATGGTTATTTTTCAATGCTAATATTTTCGTTTCTTGTTTTTGATATTTTCGATCTGCTATTGGTATCAAGAGAAATAAAATAAATAGTTTGGTTAAGCAATAATGTAGCTTTAGTTAAGTTAGATAATTGTGTTTTCCATAGTGTATGAAATATCTAAACGCACCTTCAGAGGTGCGCAGAAGGGGGTTTCATGGCGCAAGTTGTACCATCAAAATTTTTGAGGGGGCATATTTTGACGGTTTTTTGAATTTTGAGGCACATTTTGACTGGGTTATGAATTTTCAGAATGAAAAGTTTCATACTAAGAGAGAAAGAGAAAACATGAAA